GAAGATTTTTTAGCCTGTTGCTTAAACATGTCAAAAAGCAAAATAAAGAGGGTAGACCAGGAAAAAGACCAGGAAGGAGGAGCAGTAAAGGGGCACTTTCTTTAATAGGTAGAAGTATTACCACGAAAAAAAACTGGTTTTAAGGTTCCCTTGTCCTCACAGTACATAAGTATCATGAGCAGACCTAGCAAGATATTGTCGGGGTCGCGATAAGTAGGTCCAAGGTGGTCAAAATAGTCAGCACTACTGACCGTATAACCAGTACGAAGCGGAAAGTACGAGGAATGCTGAAAGGTTCGCTATCGAGGACCGGATTTCAGTGAAGATGGAAAAGCTGAGAAAATTGAAGATGTTAGGCTGGTTAAGGAAAGGGGAAGGGGGGGGTAGTACCACAGGATTTTGAGGAAGAGGGGTAACACTTTGCAAAAATTGCACCCAGCGGTATGTCGTGCCCCGTGCCTGGTACACGGACACCAAAATATATTCTGCTGGCTCACAAGCAAACACCATAAAAAGAGACGAATAACATAGAAAAGTTATTACTAGAGCAAAATCTTCTGTGGTGTTGGCTCGAAACGAGAAAACTTAAAAGTGCAAAAAAGGGAATAAGTATCTCTCCACATAAACAAAAATGAAGAAAGGAAATCAGTGGAAGAATAATGCACGTACTTTTCTGCCCTTGGATTCCTTTTCGCCTTGTTTCTGGAATCTCCTACCTCAGGTATGGCCACCCACTCGTCTTCAGTGACCTAGAAAAAACACTGCTCTGCAGCAGAACTATTTAAAATGATTTGATACATAAGAAGACTGTGCAAAATCTGTTTTTCGCGCTTCCGCACCAACTCTATAGGAAAGTTCCACCGTCTCGGGAATCGCTACTACCGCAATTCGCGTTATGGAGGCAGCAGTCTAGGAAATGCGGAATTTCTCTAACATCAGCTCTTATATACAATGGGCAAGATCTGGAGGCGGGCGGTTGATGCCAGCGTCACTGGTGGAAGGGCTGTGAGAGGACGTTTGGCCACACTACACTCGGCCCTTCCAGCAAGGACGCTGGCGACAACCGCGCGCCCGCAACCATCCTGCCCCGTTCACACTGTCGAGAATTCGGCGCTGATGTTGTTAGGGGGACCACTCGCCAGCGCCTTCGTATCTGTTCAATTAATCAAGGCATAGACTTACCTTAGTGGAGAATACCTGTGGAACTATCCCTCGGTACTCTCGCCCTCTGCGCTCTATGCCTAAGATTTATGGGAGGAAGCATACGGAGACGCTAGCGTGTGGTCTACCCGCCCTCTCTCATCTACGTTAGCCCCGAGAATCCCTCCTGTAGATTATCAAAAAGGTAGTCTTGGTTACGTATGACGATGAATAAAGAGGTACCTCGCTAAGTTGTCTTTTCAAGTCAGAGAACTCCTGCTGAATCTTTGGCCTTTCTTTACGATACTTCTCAATAGCTTCTTTGTACTTTTTCTCTCTAAAACTCAGAACTTTAGCCTTAGTAACCATGATGAAAATGATGAAAAACGTGCCTGTAATCTTTCCTCCGCTCATCTATTCTGGTCTCTACAGCTAAATATACCTCATCCGCTTCTTCGTCTTCTTTATCATAAGGATCTTGTGCGAATAAACTGCCTGCATATCCTTCAAACTGAAACAAACAAAATGGGTGATTATTTATTATGAGAGGTGGGTGATCAAACAATACCTCATCATAATTGTTATCATTGAGTTGTTCCTCTGGGTCCTCTTTGGTTTCCTCTTTTGCTTTCTTCGACGGTGGCCCGGTACCGGCTTCTGGCACATCAGTCGCTTCCCTCGCGGGTCCAATATCAGACCGTGTCGTGAACCCGGTCGCACCTCAAATGGTTTTCAACAGAATAATCGAAAGCCATTTCTGACATTCCTTTAGAAATGGTGCTGTGTAGCTATAACTCAACTATTACAGACCGATTTTTATGACTGTTAAAGTGCACACTTACCTCTTCCCACTCCAGGAACATAGCCCGCAGGAGCGGGCATGCCCATGAAGTGCTTCTTGGTTTTGTTTACGAGAGAGCCAGGTATCGTTATAGACATTTCCCTTAACATAAGAAGAAATGAATAGGTATCTTTGCAGTTCAGAATGGCTTTCGGTGCTTAAACTAAAGCGAGAGCGAGAATAGTCATAAAACAAATGTTACTAAAAAGAGGTAATTGGGCGCACTGTTCCGAAATATAAGCTGGAACATTTTGATACAGAGCGCTCAATACATTCATAACAGCGAAAGACATTTCCAGTTAATGTAAGGGAACGCTGAGGCCGGCAGAAATAATGTGAACCACTTGATGAGGAATTCCTCCCGGGACAGGTGTAAAGAGAGTTCCATGGGTGGGTGAATCGTTACTACCCACCCACCCACCACAGCCCCGCATTAGATTATGTCGAATCGAACATTAGAGAGGTAATGTAAGGAAGTAAAAGTTACACCAAAAAATAGAAAAGATTTTCGAACGTCGAACGAGTTGAATTATGGTGTGCGGGACGTACTTGCACACGCCACACCTCACACCACTTCCAGAATGACTCGAAAGGGAATTTCTGAATTAGGTGATGGCGCCGATAACGCAATACAACGCAAGAATAGATACCGTCCATGGGCAACCCAGTATTGCATCTACAATACATCTTTTTCCTATGAGCACGGAGGACCAGCAGGGTTGACGTCATTCATGGGACATGGCCGCAATCGCAACCAAAACAACGGAAAACACGTTTTCTTGATTGCTTCGAATTTCGGAGCGCTAGGAAGTCCCTGCATTCACGGTTTCCTTTATCTGGCTTTGTTGCCGAGTCTAGAATATCTAGTCTTGCATTCATTTTTGTGGGATCGATGAGTGCATAAATCGAGTCGCCACATTAGAAGTTGTGGTTGATTCCACGCTAGTTCATCTCTGCTTTATACTAATTGGATCTCTAGCTTAAATCCCAGCTCCAAATTTGTTTGGGGGAGGGATGAGGGATCAATCGACCACGCTTCTGCGTTCCTTACCTTAGAGCGTGTTTAGACTTCGCGATACGAGTGTTTGATTTACGCGACCGTACCCCTCGAGCGTTTAGATCGCGCGATCCAAGCGGTCGGATCGCGAGGCCTGAACGCGCTCTAATCTGGGTCTGGGCTTAGCTTTAGTACCAGTCTCGAAGCTATCCAGATGAAATGCAAATTCGCGCATTTGGTGGGGGCACTAAATGGTCTTCAACAAACCTTGTATGGGCTGCCTCATTGAGAGTCCTAAATTCGTCATTTGTACCATTTTGCTTCGTTAGAAGTGGCTTTACTTTGGTGAAACCATTTGGTTAATATGAACCAGCAAAAGAATGTAGAGAAAGGGCAAAATGCTCCCCCTCTCCTCCAGCCGAATAGCACATGTTTTCGCAAATAGACCGTCAGGTGTCCACCATCATGGGTGTACATGGTTCTGGTCGCAAATGGGCTGAATTAGCCACTCTGATATCTACGTTTCCTTTTGTTTCCTCCCTGCAAACGTTTAGAACAACAAGAAATCACCGTATTCCAGCATGGATATCAACAAGTTGAAATTCGCTGTCAGTTGCTCGAGTAATATGAATCGAAGTATGGAAGCTCATAGTTTTATGCAGTGAGTAGCCCTCGTGGTTGGTTTCTACGCATATTTTGATGAATTTTTTTTCAGAAAACGAGGTTTCAACATTGAATCTTATGGTTCTGGAAATCAGGTCAAACTTCCTGGCACAGCTATAGACAAACCAAACTGCTACGAATTCGGGAAGGCGACATTATGAATTCATTTATAATGACCTCAAAGCAAAGGATTCTGCATAGTAGGTGGTCCTACTTTCATATCGATAGCATACCTTTCTTTACGCGTCATTTCAGTTATACTCAAAACGGCCTTTTAAATATGTTAGATCGAAATCGTCGAATAAAGCCTGCTCCACAGAAGTTCCAGCACGAGGATAAAGAGTTCGACGTCATTATTTGCCTTGAGGAGAGGGTTTACGATCAGGTAATGGCTTTCGCAGGTATTCGTGTTTGCTACGCATTCTATTTTTATTCCATTGACTATGGAAAGGGCTTGTGGATTGACAGTCGAAAAACTGCTGAAAGTACTTTGTCAGGTAGAATATCATACGCTCAGTGCCCATGCGGCGACATTACCCGGCCCCTCGTTCGTCCTCGCTTTTTTAAATGTCTTTTCTGTATCTTAGGGGAGGGGTCGTTCCTCGCATCGTCTCGGTATGGGTGTGAAAAAGGAGTTATAGCGTTATTTCCTAGTCACAGTATCGCAGCTTTCTAGGGTATGTCCCAAGGCAATTGCAATATACGGCGCTGGTGGGTGTGGCGAGCCAGTCAGACGAGTTTTCCTACTTGGCCGTTTGAATCTCAGTGACATATAGATGGAAAAATTCGACATCGTCGTATGCCGGTCTTATTTTTGCTGAATTTTGAGTTGAATGAGATTTGCTGAACAAAAAGTGATGCACATCGAAGTTGCAGCACGATACGCCAACGCGGCCATTTACGATTTTCTTGTCCGACTCCCCTTCCTTAGCTAGTTGACATGGGAGACACAGACACAGGGAAAGTCGACACGCCGCGTAGGCGCTGCGACTTGGGGTGTTGTAGCGTCACTCCTCAGTCGCGGCCATCGCGCGCAACGAGCATTAGTTCTCTCCTAGCTAATTAACTGAAAGACCAGCCCGCCGCTAAGTTGAGTACAGGCTCGTCCTTCCCGGGTGGGGGTAGAGTCAGCCCCCTAGCGGGAGGATTTTTTTTTACTGTCCCACTCTCTCGCGACTCCTCAGCGAGCGAGGAGCGAGCTAGAACCGCTCAAAGTTCTAGTTCTAACGCCTGCTCAGTTGGACCGCCTCACTTGCTAGCTGTCCTCTGGCGGCGAGTCGCTCACTTGTTCTTTGTTGGGAGGGCGGGCATTAATCGGGACTGCATGTACTTTTTGCTGACCGCGCTCGTGCCCACAAATAATTCTGCTCTCATTCATCAGATTTTATTCATTGGAGCGGCGACATACAGTCAACTGCAACCCATCTCGCAAGATAAAGCGCGCAAAAATCACGAATGATGCAATTTTTGTGGTGCCTCGACGCACTTCACTACACCAAAATACGCGCGCTACCGTAACCCTAAGTTCGGACGCCGGCTTTTTAAATGTTTCTTTTTCTATTTAAGAGTTTTCCTCCATGATTTTGTTGTTTTTTGTCTTCTTTTCTTCGCTTCGATGATATCCACTACTGGGAGATGTGACAAAGTGATTTCTGAGCCAGGCTGACAGGAAGACCCACAGGCATTGCTGACTGCCGGCGGGCGCATTTGTTTTATGGATGCTTTGAGGGCTCTTTGTTGCTTTTCCCCACATTGAAGAATTACTTATCAGCTACTGTTTCATAATTGATCGGCCATTATCCTTGACACTTTTATCGCGGGAGCTGTCTTCAACGGACAGATACAGAGAGAGCTGGTCGTCTTGCAGAGAGCATCGTCGCGTCGCAAAACTGCTACGTTGAGTGGATCAGGTTCTGGTGTAAACGCTGCGCTCGTCCCCTCGCTTGCAGCGCTTTTTTGGCTCTCGCTGTAACTCAGAAGTCACGCCGTACATCTTGTGGAGAAGAGGCACAGAACAGCGCAAAAGGTTTCTCTTAATGGCGCTCCCCATTTAACTTATTGTTAATACGGAACACGCTACTGTCATATTGCAGGTAGTTGATCATCTCCACACCAGACCAACAACGAGTGGCAATCCAGCTCATGTAATCAATATCGATATTGAAGACAACCCAGAAGAAGCCACAATAGGAGCATGGCTAGTTTGTGAACTATGTGGAAAGGTTGATTTTCTTCTCGTTTGTTTTTACATGTTAGCAATATTTTTCACTAGCACAAGAAAACGTGACGTGACTGGCATCGGAAGGGAGAAAGGTAGCTGCGTAAAAGTTAGACCACACACCTTGTCTGTTCGTGTGCATTAGACGAGCAGGGGTCAAGCAAAGGAGCATCTCCAGGAAAATCCCTCTATGAGCGATAGACCATTGTTTAGATGGGGATTGCCTCCCTCTCTAACCACTTTATGCCAAAAGCGTGAAGCTAATACTGGGTACGCATCTGCGTCTGTTGTTCATTCAATACATGGGCGTAGAGCGCAGGCAGTCAGAATCGCATAAAGTGTCTGGTCTGAAAGACTAATTTATGGCGGCTGTGAATCACTGAGTCTAAACTTGGCTAGGGGAAGGGACCCTGTGACGCTGGGCGGGGTCCTCTATCGAAATTTTCTACACGCAAGCGCTGAAAAACTGTCAAGAGAAATGAGCTAATCGGAACATATAAGACACGTTTTTGTAACTGCGACGCGCTAGTGTAAGCTTTAAATGATCGATTTTTACCTAGATTAGCTAAAACTAGGAAATTGTCATCATCATGAAATATTGAGCTTGGCATTGAATGTATGTACATGGTATCGGAGCTTTATGCCTAATCCTTTACGATTTCAGTTGGACGAATGTGACGATTTGGACAACGAAATAGACGAAATTCTAGCGGATTTTGAGGCCAAAAATCAAAAGCGAAACATACTGCACACCATCTGTTTTTACTAGGCAAGCATTTCCTTCATGTTGTAATTAATGGGTTCATTTTCATCGAAGGGTTCAGTACAATCGAGAGAATCATCGCTGAGAAATCTTATCTTCAAGGAATGAGACGACCCTCTCTCGTTGTGATAGTCTCATATTTAGAAACTCATCACTTCCATCATTGTATCACTCAGTATCACCCTTCGAAGCGATGTAAGCGTACTGGCTGACGCTTCCATTCGTCCTTACTTACGGATTCTAGCACTTCGTTGTTTTTATTCCATACCTTCACCGTCACTTCCCCTCTCCTTACCTCTTCTTTCTTTTAGTAAGCCAACTGCTCACTGTTGCTACGCGCTGTCGATTCGGTGACATTCCATTTTAAACGCCTCTTTTCAGCCGTTATCATGATTATCACTTTCTGCCGCCCACCAGTGTCACACAGCATATATAGGTGAAACGTATTGGCAATCATCAAACTTGGTGTTGTTTGATCTTATGCCCCCTATCAGCTTTTATTGGTTGTTATCACTATATATCCATCACGGGTATCTCTGCCCCTCCCATTTACCCGTGGCTCAAATAGAAGGACCTATATTTCGATCAATACGAAACGAATCTACCACGAACAGACAAACTTAAAAAATTATAGACGATAGGGCGGATAGGCATGCGGCTAATAGTATCGTCTCGAAAGGCGATAGAGATAGAGTTCCTCCTACTGCTCGCCCGGGCATGGGGTCTGAGCGGATCTGCCAGGCGTTTCCGCCGGTTTTCCGCCAGCCAACCGACTGTTTTCACAATCCTGAACCGCGTCTCATGCGCGCTAAGCAAGACAGCCACGCGCGGTGGCTATTCCGTGTCTCATTAACGCGCCCGTTACGGATTGCGAACGGCCGCTGAAAATATGTTCGACAAACCATACCAAACCCATACGTTTGTCCATGTTCATTATCCGACGAAATTTCTCCTGAATTGTCGCTGGCAGAGCGGTAGCGCACCTCCCGATACATCTCACCGGCTTTTCTGGGTGATAGCTTCCAACCGCCGGTGGTTCCGTTTCGCATTGTTTTTCTCCGGTGTTTCTCTGTCATTTCGTATGGACTCTTATTGGAATAATGACTGACCCGCTGTCTAAAAACCGAATCAGAAGATCAGCAGCCACTGCGCACTATTGCGTTGCATTGGTTGGAGCACCATTGTGGTCGTAATGACCGTACATCGATCCGTCCCCCGTTGTTTAGGGGGGGTATGATGCGGAGCCCCTCCGATTGACGCTATCGAGTTAAGTGGGAGAGTTTGTATAGCACATGTGAAACGGAAAAAATCAAAACACGAAAGGTCTCAGAGGGACATCCCCCCCCCAACAACGAGCAGAAATACGCCCCTCTTGTACAACGTCCCTGAACAGGAGAAAAATCAAACTATTCAAAGCAAACATTTTTCTCCAAGCCCCCAATCCCCCACCCCCACCCCCCCCGTCCCCGGTGCCGTCCAATTACGACCCCCCTGGGAAACTGCCAGCAACATGGGCCCTTGGATCAGGGTTCATAAAAAAAACCGGCGTAAAAAGCTGGCGCTACTAGGAAGACTCTGTCGCGCGTCCTCTAGTACCTTGCAAAACATGCGCCTCCCTGACGTCTAGTCTGGGTTGTAATGGTCCTGCCAGCTCGGGCGCTTACGGTATGGTACGCTAAACGGCGGGAAAAACCAGCAGACAGATAGATTGTCCCTCGAGGTCTGAGAACCTCTCCACAATTAGATGTGCCCCGATGGGTTTCACACAATTGAGTATGGGAGTCCCTTTCTGTAATTACTCTTTGGGGAATTCAGTATGTTACATTCTTGGAGGTTTGTTTTGGAATGGTTTGCCTGCATTGTGTGTTATTTTTGTTTTATGAGTGTTTTTCACTCGTTTTTTCTACCTTTTCGTTGGTTGAGCCCAGGATGGATTCCGGTTGAGGTATAGGTTATGTAAAAAAAATCATTAAATAAAAATTTGTATTTGTTGTGACATTTAAGGGGTCTGTAGAAGAGTAAGAAAAAACAATCAAAAGAACTTTCCAGCAGTGCTTCATTGGATTAATTGCAAAGAAACGGTTCGAAGAGTTCATAGATTTTTTTTCTACTTTGGTTGAACAACGAATCTTCTCTGCTGCACTTTATCTGCCGCTCCAACAGGTGGATCGCACAATGAACGGTCGTCCATGTACAGCTAAAAAAAAACTGTACTGAACAGTGTATATTGATGGAGGGTGCTGGCACGAGTAGTACTGGCAGTGCCGGGTTGTACGAACACGCTGGCTAACAATAAATGGTAGATGGGGATCCTAGCTGGATCTGGAACAAGGCATAGCATCGCTATGTAAAATACATGGGGGGGGGGTCGAACTTTTCCGCTGAAGATGGGGGAGAGGAGTCGTATGTGCCTTTGAGAAAAATTGCCGCGTTGGGAAAAATTTCTCCCTGTTGTTGACTTTTCGCGTGATTTTCCCTCTCTCATATGTACTATACACCACCGCTCGCAGCTGATTTTTCGGGTAAAATTCACGGTGAACTTCGGAGAAAATGATAAGAAGTTGGGGACAATCTAGTAGATCTTCCCTTCTCACATTGGCTATGTACCCACCTCCTGCCCCCTCGCTCGACAGGAAATTTGTGGGTAAAAACTGGAAGAGTGTGGGAATGTGGGGGGAAATTGGTAGATATTAGGTATTGGGGAAAGAGGAAGGGATCATACCGAGACCCTCCTTTGAGAGGGGAGGGGGTCGTTCTGATACCACCACTTCACACATCATGATGCTGTACCCTGATCTGGAATTCCTCCAAAACCCTCAGATAACTTGGGTAGCGATATTAGATATGGTTATGACGGGTGATTATGATCACTGACACTGGACAAGGTACTCAAGCCTGAAACGAGAGGAACGCCCAGGTTTATGGACCATTCTACCACGGGCTCTGTCAGCAGCTGTAAGACGGTCAAGACAATCGTGAACTGTCGCGTCGTCACACGCATATCGTACGACAATGCGCGGCTAGTTCCCATGGTGTATCGATGTCGATTAGGTATTCGAAACTCGTATGAATTCAAGCGAGGGTAAGACTCCGTACCGGGCGAACTTGGACTTTCCCGCTCTTTTACACTCAATTTAAAATAGCCAGTGTGACTCGTCTGTAGGGGCGGAGTTGCTCGTCACGTTTTTCAATCGTAGAGTACTTGAACAGAGGGTTTCATAAGCTAGGGGCGTGAGCTGTCGTGCCCACTACCGCACGGTGCCGCGCACAACGGCGCGACAAATTACGATTGTCTTGACCGTCATCTTGTGACAGTCATTAGCGGCCTCTTACGCGCTGCCAAAGTCACCCATTCTAGGTAATGACAGTCGGGTCGCTTCCCCCTCCCCCCTCCTCTCACTAAAAGGCAGTCCTGCAAAATCCTCCGTATGGCACTGTCTGCATTGATGAGAGTTTGTTGCGCAGGAAGATGTGGACTTGCAGCCCTCTGTGTGCTGTCAGGTTTTAGAACCGATCAATGAATTTTTGCATTGAGCGCTACCTAGTGGTGCCTCCAGAATTGGGCCCCGTCCGAAATTATTCCAATAAATAAAGCGAGTTAAATTAATTACAAATATAACCAAGTGAAAGATCGAACCTGGAGACGTCGCCTTTCATGGGCTTTATGAAGAAATTTTTCTTTGTAGCAATTATTGCAAAAGTCAGAGCGCATCATCCTAAGATGAGTACGTGCAATTATCGTGAAATTATTGGTCTACTGAAAGGAGAAGAAAACTAACAAGCAGAAAATGACACCAAGGCCACACAGCCACCACGCACCGATGCAGCACAAGACACCCAGCCGATTGATCCGTTTTTCGACCGCCTTGAAATTCATATCATTCATAGCTTTATTCAACTAGTCTGTGTCTTCGAGTGACAGAGGGGAGAGGGTGTAGTTCAAGGGAATACTGTCGCTTGCAACAAGAACAAATCGAGAATGTGAAGGCGCCCTCACGAAGATTCCAGTAGTCAACGCGACGAAGGTGATACGAAAGGAGAAACAGGGCACATCATTGGTTGGGGATTTTGGTGGAATTCGTACGGCCCCTCTCTTTTTACAACATCCGTGAAGCGAAGAAAAATTGATATCAACTATCAAAATAGAATTTTCTTGCTCAAATACGGCAATTTTCCAGCGACCAAATACGCCCACTGTTGGGGATTTCCCAAAATGTGCCCTGGGAGAAACACTTCTAATGGTGCTTTCCCTAATACTTGCCAACAGGGATTTACTATTATGAAATTCCCTTTATTAGGGCCATGTTTCGAGCAAGTCGTCGTCTTCAAGGACTGGAAAATGCATGATATTATTCATTTATAACCTACCCGGTAGAGCACTTTAGCGCGCTAAACTAGTTGTGACGATTACCGACAGCCTCCCACGAAGATAAACACCTCACTAGCCGTGAAGAATCCCACCATCCGCGGCGCCACCAGTGCCTTGTCTGATCAAGAAGGTGCACAGTCTTGTCGCAAGTGGATGCTGGGGCGTGTCAGGGAGGCTGAGCTCCGCAACTCGTTTCCCACCGATTGTCGTCGCTCGTCCCAAAATGTTATGGAGAACAGGTTGGCCGCACCAAATTCAGACCCCGTACTCCTTACACCAGCGTCCATAGCGAACAAAACTGCGAATAGCGCCCACATTACGGTGACTGGAATGTCGTAGCACTTACCAGCTGATGACATTCTGAGCAGAGCGTAAACTGCTTTCTTTTCGGATCATCTTTCCCATCTTGCATATTCTGATTGAGATCCATTATTATTCGACCACTACAGGATTGAAGAGCTTGAAAATGATCAGAATAGGTGTCAAGACTCCCGACATTACTTGTGACACCAAAATCAATGATCCTTATCAGGACACTCAACTAGATCCAGCCCGGAAAGCGCGGCACATGATTAATGGTTTCACTAACAATAAGACCACGTTCAGAGCCTGCGCTTTTGGAGCATTGAAGAATCCG